GGCGAAACGCGCATTCTTTGTTAACTGATTTGCTTCTGTGGCGACACTCAACAGCAGATACCACCACTCGACGCTAACTAGTGTCGAACGACGGTAGCGCAGTGGTTAGCGCCTTAAGTTACGAACGTTTGGGACCCGGGTTCGAATCCCGGCGCCTGTAGTCCGATTTTTCTTCCATGGCACATAAATGAGAAGAAAACAGTAGAGCTTGCAGCGACGTCTACGTGTTCAGCCAGGAAGTTACAAGTATCGCGAACAAACAACTACACCTCAGATACATCTTGCGCACACTAGTGTCTCCACATATCTTAAAGACATCATACAAACATACAACAATATATTACGTGTATTATATAAAATATTTTGAAATTTCATTAGCACGGAAATGAAACGGAAGACTATTAATACGTTAGTAACTATAAATACGTTAGTAAAATTTAGTCGTCTCTCGTTAGAGCATGATAACACTTGACTAGTAGCAGTGGTTAGCGCCTTAAGTTACGAACGTTCGGAACCTGGGTTCGAATCCCGGCACCCGTAGTCCGGTTTTTCTTCCATGGCACATAAATGAGAAGAAAGCAGCAGTAGCTATAGCGACGTCTACATCTTTAGCCAGCAGCTACAAGTATCACGGACAACAACGTATACCTCATTTACGTTTTGCAATTCTCCATATATACTGCAATGTTTGTTATTCACTGGATAAAAGGACCATCACAGAGAATGCACTTGACAAGCAAATCCTTACTTTTTGCGTATTCCTTAATGGAATGCTGTTTTGCACTCCTGATGCAATAATATCTTCTGTACAGTATGTTTTTGCTCCTTTTACTACTTTTGTTCTTATTACATGCTCAACTTGATATAATTATTGTTTTCATTTGGTTTCTGGTCCATAAAAAATAGTGGTAAAGGTCCTTCTGTTTTCTAGCTGCATATATTTGATACGGCTACGTTTGTAAGTTTGTCTTTTGTTTTCTAATTTTTGTTTTGTGTCGCTTGTAAGGATAGTACGATGTATTTCAATGAATTTTATTTGGTTTATTTTTCCATTTCCCTGCTTGTCTGGGTGGAATTTTGTGAACGAAATTTCGACTTCCCAACCGGCTAGGAAGTTGAAATTTGGAACACAATCTCATTTCCCATGATAATCCAATATAATTTCAAAAAATTGACAATTTCTTTTTATTGGAAATAATTGTCTAGCTAGTTGAAATGAAATCTGAAAAAGTCTTTTTATTCCACAATAGGATATTCAACATATATTATTAGATGATAGCTAAAGACTAAAAAGTAAAAAATGGAATATTAAATTAATAAATTAAATAATAAGATTAAAAGAGAATAGTTTTTGTTTAAGAATGTATCAAAAAGAAGAAAATAATTTTCCTAATAGTGTATCATTAATTTGCTTTTAATTGAATCTAATAATAATATACAGTAATAATAATATAATGCATATATCACTCAATTGGTGAAATCATATTACTGAAAATAAAAACCTGGCTGGTTCATATTAGTTTAGTATCAAAGTTTACGGAATTTTAACTTTCAAACATTCCCTATTTGATTCGATAAATCTCAGATTTACGATTAGAGTTAAATATAATAGTTAGAAAATTGTTTCCTTCGCCTTTATTAAACATTTGTTCAAAAATATTCACCCAAGAGAACAGAAGAGGTTTTAGATATGCAATTAAAGATGCAATAGAACCTATTGTATCTCAAACTTAGTACAATGAATCCACCAGGTTCTTACTTTTAGCGACGTGAGTTCAAAAATTGAGTGATACCCTATTAGCTATATGATTATCGCGTGTGCTCAACATATATATGTGGTAACTTTAATGGGTCTTAGAGTAAGGACAAATAATGATGTTTTATTTGGAGTTAAGTTTAGTTTAACAAGCAATACTCAATACAAAAAACTGATTACAATATCGTCGTACGTCTTATTATCATACTCGGCTCTCAACTTCTCGATTCATACTCTCCGGCTTCTCCACTGACACTCTGCCGCTTCTCCACTGACACACTGCGACTTTTCAACTGACACACTGCGACTTCTCAACTCACACTCTGTGTCTTTTCAACTGACACACTGCCGCTTTTCAACTGACTTCTCCACCGACACTGTCGCTTCTCAACTCACATTCTGGATGTTCTAGCATCCCTTTGTCTTTTCTTAGTCTTCTTCGAGACTTTTGCACTTCGCGATGAGTAGAATACACTGCGGTAAAAAAATGTTGACCTTGAAAATCATGCTCAAGATTAATTTGGCATCGTGTTTGTTAGTTTATATCCTTTGTCAGACCGTAAGAGTGCAGCATAAATCGTCCGTGTACACGCATAGTTACATACAACTTAGAAAACGAAAAGGAGAATAAGAAAGGAGAGAGCATATCTATCTTACCTGCCGGAATGTAGCACAATAGTGAAAGAACTACATCGGTGATGGCAATCTCTTCCAATACTATTACTACTCTTACCACAACTACTACATCCACAGCTCTATATCATAGCTGGTGATATTCAAATCGAGTGTCTCTCATAACGCCAACAAACATGAATTACATGTACAATATACAACTAAACGTAGGTAATATAACACGGCAATATCAATACAGCAACAGATAGAAAAATAAAAAGAGGAACGAAAGTGTGCAACTGCAATAAATACATTTTTTAAAGATTGCTTTTATTTAAAAATATAATAAAAAGAAGAAGATAATTTTTCTAATCAGGTATCGTTAACCCCTTAACTTACGATTTACATTCGAGAATTTTGGGCCGAAAACGTAAACAAGCTATCATATATTATATTATACAGGGTGGTTGGTAACTGGCGGTACAAGGGGGTGATTCTACGCAAAAAAAGAAGTCGAAAATATACAATAAAAATTTTTCGTTTGAGGCTTTGTTTTCGAGAAAATCGACTTTGAATTTTCGCTCGGTACGCGTGCACTTTATCACGTCTCGTTATAACGGATCTCACTGTAGATCATTGTCTCGATGGAAAAATTAAAAAAAAAATTTTTATTCTATATTTTCGACTTCTTTTTTCGCGTAGAATCACCCCCTTTCCGCTTGTACCGCCAGTTACCAACCACCCTGTATAATACCCTGTATATAGCAGTGTTGTATAACTTTTATAACAATATCATATCAGAATATCATAATGTTCAACACGTCAAAACGTTTACGACATTAAGATCAGATATCTTCCCTGAAAAATAGTAATATTAATAATAGTAGTATCCTTCAAACAATCAAGCATTTTTCAAAAATACGTAACTGAGTCCCTATTTGAATATTAAAAATTTCTCTCAAATTGTCATATTTTTCTCAACGATGTAATTACTATGAACACTTCATTATTAAATCATAGTACGAAACCGCGACATCTTTCCTTGATATTCGGTTCACTGAACACAAGGTAGCTTGCAACCTACGTATGTATATACAACGTGTTACAGCTTGCTAGAGTTTAAATGACTGGAGCTTTACAGTCGTTGCTGAAGTGAAATAAATCCTTCGTGGAACTTGCGTTGTTCGAAATAAGAGAAAATTTGTATTTTTACGCGTGCTCGTAGCTGCTAACGTTAGTGAAGCAAAGAGTCATCGAGGATTATGTTCATCACGCATTCGGATGTCGTAATGTACCGTGGTGTCGCATATTGCTGCAGGAATGAGCAGTTTCCCACTATGACAGTGCAACGTACGTATTTCATGGTTTATACGTCGTACATTATTCCGCTGCATTATCCCCATTTTTCATTGTACAACGTACACTCGATCTACTTTAGCTGGGGTAATCGGGATTCTATTAAGCCTTGATTTATGCCACCGTTATAGATCCATGACCGCGGTCCAGACAAATGTTATTACTAAATGGACTTTCAATAGAGTAGTGTACAACTACGTTTCGGTGTATTCGTTTTTCAATTTGGTATAAAGTCTTTGTTTGACACAGGCAGAATTGAAATTTTTTCGTCCTCGTGTTTGTCATCCATGAATGTTGAAAATCCAATTTAAGGTAGACGATTTGTGTATTGAGTAAATTAAATTTCAGTAGAGTCTCAATTATTCGTACAATTATTAATCAAGTCTTCTAATATTCAGGCGATCTAGTATACGAATGTTCTAAATTATTTGGCATTATAAATTCGATGCATAAACTTACGCGGACATTCTGAATATTATTACAACCAAATTCCGGTTATATAAATTTGTTGCAGGATAACTAGTTTATACAGGGTGGTTGGTAACTAGTGTTACAAGCGGAAAGGGGGTGATTCTATGCGAAAAAAGAAGTCGAAAATATAGAATAAACATTTTTTTTTAATTTTTCTATCGAGACAACGATCTACAGTGAGATCCGCCATAACGAGACGTGATGAAGTGTACGCGTACCGAGCGAAAATTCAAAGTCGATTTTCTCGAAAACAAAGCCTCGAACGAAAAATTTTTATTCTATATTTTCGACTTCTTTTTTCGCGTAGAACCACCCCCTTTCCCCTTGTACCACCAGTTACCAACCACCCTGTATAATTAAGTCATACGATAGGAACACCTCCTACCGATTCTTCGTATTAGTTGCAATCTTTTATTTGTACGATAGAAGGTAATATTTGGATAAGTGGATTTAACCGACATGAGCCCGTTTAATCGAACAATAATTAAAATTTTGTTCGATTAAATGGAGTTCACAGAAAGGATTGTTTGCACCTAAATATGATTTTTTATTAGCAACAACACACAAATTTACAGCTCTTTGCACTTTTCTTCTAAATAATAAACAATAATAATTCTGTACGAATACTGGGATATTTGAAACAATTTTGTAAATTTTTGTATCGAAGGGTATTTTACAGAAAAAAAGGAATTTCTTAGAACAGTTATTATATCAGTCAGAGCTAGATTTCATAGATTTTTTTTGGAACATTACTTTCATTTTTACATCTTAAGCGCTATTCCAGCCTTTTCAAACAGCACAAATCATCTATCGTGCTCTAACTAAACAATTAGACGGAACAATAAAAAATGCGTAAAAATTGTAATTAATTACTTGAGTCGCATTAACTACTGCAATTGGTTATTGGTCATTCAGTTGGAATTACAAATTGAGTTTCATAATTTTTGAGAATAATTTATTTAAAAAATTTGGGATGCACAAGTTTTTATTAATAATAATATAAATAACGATAACATAAATTAAAGTAATTCAAATTTTAAACTTAGTATAAAATTGGTATCGTATGCATTAATGCGTATAATAATGTTACGAACTGACGAAATGAAATAAACGACACACTCTAGAAGTTAGTGGAGGAGCTTTCACTTAAAAGCATTCATATTACCAAAGGGACGTTTTAATGTTTCAAAGTACAAATACACTACAATAGAATTCCATATATCGCAATAAAATTTTAGTTAGTGCTCGATTAAATGAACTTCGACTAGTGAATTTATTCATCTGAATGTGAATTCCTATTACTTGTATTCGAACGAGAAATCATCGGCAGTGAACTTCTATTGTACGAATTTCAGTTATATAAATTGTTCGTCTCTGGGGAGATGTATGTGCCCGTAGATAAATGGAACTCAACTGTAGTTCTATGCAATTTAATATTTCTAAAAGTTTGTGTGATTTGGCAGCAATAAAGCTATGGAACGAATCAATTAAAAATATACACCAGTATTTTTGGCTAGCACCAGTTACATTATTTTCTTTAAAATATAAAATAATCAGCAAAAGTTCCTCTACCTAAAACTGTCTGTCTTTCTATTAATATTTACGTATATTTCTTTATTAATTTAATTTGATAATATCATAAAGCGCTAAAATTAACGAAAACTGATATAAAAAGCGTAGCGTTAACGAAAGCGTAGAATTAACGAAAACTGATATAAAATGCTCATAAAATATTTATTGAACTTATCAATTCATAATTTTTTAATTTCTACAAATCCCACAACACTTTTTATCATTTTTATACATCACCAGCTACGAACAATAGCGCCAACAAAGTTTGTTAAATTTGATGTATTTTTTATCAACAATGTTTCATGAATTCGATTTTTCAAAAGTAGAAGCTCATGAGAAAAGATTTATTCGTCGTTGTTAATCCAGTCGTCAAAATATCATCAATTTCTTACAAAAAATTCGAGCCCGAAATTTTTTAATTACCATAATTTTTTTAACATTTTTAGAAAATAACGATGTTTAAATACTGTCTTTATTGGTTAGCTGCTACCATGATAAATATATCCGGTAAAGTTCATTAAAGTCTGTGAATAGCCTTTCTATCTTGAACAATATTCTCGTATTTTTAATTTTTTCGAAAATAGAGATTCGTAGAGAAAAAAATTTGTTCTACCTTTTCGACCTGTTTTTTCGAGAGAAATTGCTTCTCTCTTTTCCCCCATTGTATCACGAATAACCAAACATTCCATAGTGGCCACATACAAAATACTACAGTGTTTTTCTATTGAAAATGATGTCTGAAGTACAACGCGATAAATTTGGATAGTGGAGGATTATATTGGATAGGACACACGATTATAAGAGTTATAAAAGAAAAAAAGTATAAAAGACAATATAACAGACTAATACAGCAAATAAGCTAGATAAGTATAAGCAGTTGTATATAGTTATAGAAGAGCTAGTGTAAGAGATATATAAATGACGTAATGGAATTATGTAAGAGATGTAAATCGAAAGTCGTCCAAAGCTGAAAGGTATGGACTAAGTATAAATAAATAATAAATAAATGTGGGATGGTGTGACGTCAGGGAAGGACGTGGAGTGAGGGGTAATTGTTTATAAACGTTGTCAAGATATGTTAATGTTGTCAAGGAGTGTTGTGAGCGTTACCAAGGTATGTTGAGGGAAAAAATGAGCATGGAAAATGCTGTCAGAGTTGAATTTATCGTGGTCGTGTAAAGTTCGTTGTGTTGTTGTGACGTAGAATTAGTGAGAAACGAATACGCGAAACGCGGTATCATATTCGATTTCGTGTGAGTGCTACGATATTGTATTTGTCATACTGTTTTCTATTAACTTATAATATAACATTCCTACATAAATTACAAATTTTAATATTTCTACACACACGTTTGCTCGAATGAAAAATATCAAATAACTGTGTTCGTATTTAAAAAATCTCATTGCGCACCGTTTGGTGCAAACACAGGAATTTGCCCAATTCTTGAACTGTGTATTATCTGAGTGCATATTCGTGTTGTAAGAGCACCGTGTTACACGGGAGATACCTTTATTTTATTTAAATGATTCTCAAGTCTGGGTGGAATAATAATACTATGATAACATAATAATTGTAGAATATAAACAGAATAAACGTATGAATTAAAGAAAAATATATTTTAGATAATCTCGTAAGAATTTTGTAGATACAATTTAATTTAGAAATAGCGTGTGAATTCTGAATTTGAAAAGCTATTCTGCAATCATGATCGTGAATAATGAATTAATATATTAATTTAATATTTTGTTGCATAATTGAAATGTCAGAAAGGGGACAGTAGTAATTAAACCGCGAATATTTACGTATTTATGGAAAATGAGAGAGATTTAGATTCTATAAGACATAAAGGTAAATATATAAAATATTCAAATCAAATGGTTAATACTCCACTAAAATGAACTAAAAATAAATGTGGGATAGTGTGACGTCAGGGAAGGACGTGGCGTGAGGGGTAATTGTTTATAAACGTTGTCAAGATATGTTAATGTTGTCAAGCAGTGTTGTGAGCGTTACCAAGGTATGTTGAGGGAAAAAATGAGCATGGAAAATGCTGTCAGAGTTGAATTTATCGTGGTCGTGTAAAGTTCGTTGTGTTGTTGTGAGAGAGATTTAGATTCTATAAGACATAAAGGTAAATATATAAAATATTCAAATCAAATGGTTAATACTCCACTAAAATGAACTAAAAATAAATGTGGGATAGTGTGACGTCAGGGAAGGACGTGGCGTGAGGGGTAATTGTTTATAAACGTTGTCAAGATATGTTAATGTTGTCAAGCAGTGTTGTGAGCGTTACCAAGGTATGTTGAGGGAAAAAATGAGCATGGAAAATGCTGTCAGAGTTGAATTTATCGTGGTCGTGTGAAGTTCGTTGTGTTGTTGTGACGTAGAATTAGTGAGAAACGAATACGCGAAACGCGGTATTATATTCGATTTCGTGTGAGTGCTACGATATTGTATTTATCATACTGTTTTCTATTTACTTATAATATAACATTCCTACATAAATACAGCAAATAAGCACAGTAATAAACGATGAAGTAATACTATAATACTACGTAGATTTATTGGTTAATTTTGGGGCGCTTTTTTTATAAATCTTCTTCAAACCAATGGTGTAGAGCAACACTATAATGGTCGCGACATATAATTTCCTCGCATCCTGTACAATTGTAACTACGCACAGAATAAAAACTATTCGAGGTAAAGATATAAATATCTAGAATAGAACTGGGAAGTTAACACACTAAATTAAAAAGCATGGAAAATGAAAACGTATTAGACAACAGGAAAATTTACATAGAGCAATGATGACGAAAGGCATAAATTTTCTGGGAAAAAGTCACAATCGACGAAACAGTAAGTAAGAATGTGAAGTTTAGACGGATGCGGATTTATTTGCCTAAATGGAAGAAATAAATCGAACACGGATGGATATTGTACCCGCATAGAGTCAACAGACGCGAATCTAATAGATTTACAAAATGTGGATGATTATTTATCTGGAAGTAATGGATATAGGCACATCGGATCAACTGTTCATAAATATAAAGGTAATGATAATCGATAAAGAAGAAAGAAATGAAACAGAAAGATGGAAAATAATCAGAATAAACGATTTAAGATTAAGAAATTTCAAGAACAAGGAAGGTAAAGGAAATTACACAGAAATATTATAAAATATGTATAAACACGACTTGGAACGAAGGTGTAAATGAAATGCTACGCATCTTAATCAAAGCAATAGAAGATACAGGAAAAGAGTTGGGTTTGATCGATGAGATACAAGCAGACAGAAAATGTCATTATAGAGGAAAACTGTAGTTCACAGAAGAATGCAAAACGCTGAAGAATTCAGTTAGGAAAGTAAGTAGAAATTGGATCTAAAAATAAGGAGAGAGCAACAAAAAAATAGTAAAAGGCAATGGAAGAATCCTCAAAGATACTAGCTAATGCAAAAAGCAGTCACGAATTCTGAAAGAAGTAAAAAAATTCCTAGGACCAAGAAGAACGAAATCAGTGATAAATAAGGAGCAAGTCGGAGAATTCTATAAATCAATGTACCCACCTAGAATAATAGGCGCGACAGATTTTATAGTAGATACTCGATTTTGGATGCAGAAATCAAGTGGAGGTAGGCGAAGAAAATCCTGCAGAAACTGAAATCGTACAAATCACCAGGACCGTATCTGACTGATATCGAAACTATCTGATAAGGCTGGAAACAGATAGGACGAAACTGGAATATTAAGTAATACAAAGAGCATTGAAATGCTACACAAAAATATGCAAAATTTGTCTTTTTTTAACTTTATTATAAAATGAAAATTTAATATATAATATGAATAATTGCTTTAAACGTATAATAAATGTTGAATATGATTCCACCGAATAAAGTTTATTAATATAATGAATAATCGATTGTATAAATATTTGTATCATTTTTGCGAGGTATACGTATACTCGTATTAAATATCTCGTAATTTTTATACATATTTTCAAATTTGTTTCAGGCTTTATTAAAATGTGTTAGCAAAATGTTAGAGCCTTCGTTTTCGAGAAGATTGAGTTTAGAAATTTACCAAGTATACATGAGTTTGTCTAATTTTGTTATTTTGAGCTATAGAATTTCCTTGATTTCACTTGTACTACAAATTTAGGACTATGGCACATACAGTCAGTGTAAGAAGTATTCGTACAGTACATGACCATAATAATATTATTGTAGAACATCGTTTAGCGATAAAATTCTAATAAATATAAAATGTATACATATTCTTACAGGTCTCCAAAATAATTTGCAAAAGAAAAGAATGCGATACTCATTCCCATTGTAAAAACATTAATAAATGTCCAGCAAATGGTAAAATTATATGCGTAATAAGTATTCGTACAGTTGTCACTTCATAGAATAAAATGCGCACAAATATTTTAAAAAATAAGGAAAAGATGAATTTGGAACAATTGTAACCTGATGCAAAGTAACAATCCAAAGCATAACGTTACTAATACGCGTGCGTTGATCTTGTATAATGTCCGCAAACACTTGAAACACTCCTCCACAAGAAAAATATTTCAGGTAGAGCCCTCATCAATTTGATAAATTCAATCTCACGACGGCTTCAAGTCATAAAACCTAATAATTAAGTCTCTTAGATATTAGATAAATGTTATTAGTATTTTCCATTAAACTGTAACTGTATGGATACTGATTAGGCATATATTTTTGCCATTTTTTTAACACGTTGACTGCCGTATTCGAGTGTCAGCAAAGTTTCTGGTCGAGCCACGTAACCCATATTCGGGTGTCGCTTATTTAACTACTTGCGAAGGATCGTCGTAGGTATTTGAAAAGATATTCCATAACAAATAAAACCATTGAATTGTTATAAAAGTAATACGAAAATGGTTTATTAAAAAATTATTTAGATGTAAAACTTTAAAGCATTCTATACATAACTGAGGTTGGTCGGGACAATTTGGACAATAAGTTGTTGTTTTCTTCAAATTCTTTTGTGCCTTTGTTCGGTCCATTTCACGTCTTTTATTTGCATAACATAGTTTGCATACGCGTCTAATGCTTCTTCCGGAATCGTTTTTCCGAACGACGATATTATGCCTACTTCGTCGAAGACAAGGATTTCTTGTATTTTCAGACAACCCTAATAATTTTGCAACTAATAATTGTCTAAATATTCTAATATTTATATTTTTTCTTGTTGCAATTTTGTAAACCGTCGAAGCGTTTACAACAGAAATTGCCAGAAAGAATCGAATGCCAAGTTTTCTGTACCATTTGATTCCTTTTCTAATTGTGGTGGCATAAGAAACCATTTGGTCGGAATAATCTATAGCACACTTTCCTTCGTTATATTCAACAACAGCTAGTGGTTTTAACGTTACGAACAAACGAAACGAAAGATCATTCTTGAGACCACCGCTTGAGCGACTCGCATTACTAAAATATCGATGGGAGCACCTAGCAGAGAACGCTTAGTACTGCTGCACGCGTGGCCTGACGGACATTTCTTTGAAAACACGCGTGGCAGTCAACGTGTTAAACATTTGTTAATTTTTTCACAAAAAATGTAGATATCCTATCTTTCTTGTATGAAAATTATTCCGCAGACTTACAAGAAGATGTACATATTTTTTACTTGTTAAAATTTTGTTAACAAATGATGTTCTACAATATTTTTGTTGAACTTAATTACTGTACAAATACTTTCTACATTGACTGTATATACAAGAATAATTTCACGAACATCATAGTGTTTGGGTATCAATAAGAGTCGCTGTAAATCGAGTGGAGAAATGGTAAAGTTAGAAATCGCAGAAATGTTCATTTCTCTAGATCAAGAGGACACTTTATTTCAAAATTATGGAAGAATAATACGGAAATTGTTTGCATTGTGGTTGATAGTATCGAGAGTGAGTAAGTTGACAATTTCAACACAAGCAATGAAGTTACGACTGCCTTCAGTACGTAGGAACTAGGGTTTAACTACACACATAAACCGTAGTTTGAGAAATGTTGTCGGTTGGAAGTTCGGTATCTAGTTTCCCTCTTTTACAGCTGTTAGAACTGTTAAACTGTCTTGATGTTTTGATATCCGCCGCGGTTCTTTTGTATAATCTATTATACATTGCGTTACGTGACGGGTATTAATAATCGTCGATTTTTCCAGCTTTGTAATAAATTAATTATTAGATTATTTCACTTAAATAGTAGATATTTATGCAAATTCGTATATTTCTTGATACGATTAAAAAAATTAAAGAATTTAAGCAGAAATCTGTTTCAGCGACAAGATATTATAACAAGTAGTTTACTTCAGATATTTTACATGTTTTTGTGTATTATGTGAATTCTGTGCATTTTTGTATATTTAAGTCTCGCATAAATGTACAAAAATTCGTAGACAATTAATTAGAAATAAAGGTTTAATTTAGAATGTAGTATAATCATAGAAGAGTAATAATAATCTTAGAAATGTAAAAAATTTATTTTACTTAAATTAAGAGCACGTGCAGCTATTTGTATGTAAAAAATTGAATAATACATGATAAAATCGGAGACTATTGTTGAGTAAGCAATATTAATCTTTTGTATTACCATGGCGGCGCGACAGTACAGTGATGTTAATAATGTGAAAAAATACAAGTTTTATTATTTTAAAAGTGCAAGAAGACATTCTAAATTTTTAACCTTTCTAAAGAATATTTATATCTTTTCCTTTTCAATATCTAACTCATGCTTTTAAAAAAATCCTGTAAAAATGTGTTGGTCCATTCTATAGAAATTTGTGGAATCGCAAAGGATTAAAGCTATTCCAACAACATATTTTACACTTACGGTATTAATTACTTTTTATGTCATACGTGAACATCAACAGAGTATTTAAAGCGGCGAATTATATTCGTAAACTGAATTCAAATATCTGTTTTTTCGAAACAAATTTCTACAAGCAATGAAGATACAAGTATTTTAGCTATTTCATTCTGTATACGTTTATATCCAGATTATTTCACAGTTAGCTAATTCACTCTGTATCGTATGTGTTTATAAGCTAAGAGAAAGACTTTTGTTTAACACATAGATCTTGACATTCGTAGGGGTAAGAGTTTAAAGACCAAGGGTTAACGATTAAGAATTTTAGAATTCAAAATTAAAGATTTACGGATTAAGGGTTAAACTTCCTAGCCGAAATATTCATTAAAAAGAAATTAATATACTTATATACAGTTCATCTTCAAACTTACGCATTCTATAATTGAATCTGGAAAGCATAAAATCGTTCCAATGTATAGGGAAATAAATGACGTAAAGAAAGGAAACGTCGAGCTCTCTGAAATTAATTAATTTATAACGTTGCCAGAGAACAATGTAGTTATCCATTAGATATCAAAAAATTGGCGGATGTTCTTCTAATTATCTTTCTTTTTCTTCTATTTTTCATTCATACTACTCTATTGGATATTATAATTTTATTTTATATCATATACAGGGTGGTTGGTAACTGGTAGTACAAGCGGAAAGGGGATGATTTCACGCGAAAAAAGAAGTCGAAAATATAGAATAAAAATTTTTCGTTTGAGGCTTTGTTTTCGAGAAAATCGACTTTGAATTTTTGCTCGGTACGCGTGCACTTTATCACGTCTCGTTATAACGGATTTCACTGTAGATTTTTTATTCTATATTTCCGACTTCTTTTTTCGCGTAGAATCGCGCCCTTTCCGCTTGTACCACCAGTTACCAACCACCCTGTATATTTCATGGAAGAATATTACCTGAGTATCGAAAACATATGCAATATATATAAATAATTTGTTAAAAAGACGGGAGGTCTTTTAGCTTTTAATTTCTTGTCTTAAAAATGATTTTTTTTATGAATACTTATTTTTAATAATTTCAAGATACTGCATTCTACAAATGTTCTTATTTACGTCACGTTACAATAATAAAAATTGTTTTAATTAGCTTTATATATATCTGGAATACATTATACATATCTGAGCAATAAATCTTAAAGAATACTTTAATTTGTTTAGTAACGAAAAAAAATGAAAAATTTTCGAAGCAAATCTAGTGTATTCAATCTTTATCAAGGTAACATTTTTCCAAATTTATTCCATCGCAAATTTTTGGCATACCTTCAGCAAATTTATGAAATTCTTCGACAGCTATTTGCTATGTTTTATGCTATAATTATGTTACATTGTTTTAATTATATCTCAATTTTCACATTCATAATTTCTCGCTTTCATGATATTCATTATATAATGCATGTAAAATGTAATAATTACAATTATATTAAATTGTTGAACATATATTTGAATATCTCGGAAGAACGTATCAAACTTTCTATAAATTTTTCGAAAGACTATAAAATTACATCTTTTTGAAATTAAAAAAAAAATTTGTCGTCAAATAATTTTTGAATAATGATTATATATGTATGGAAACCAATGCAGATAAGAATCTTAAAACAGTTCCTAAAATCTACAGAATTACAAATCATAGAGGAAATCTATGATTTTTCAGATTTGGATTAGAGAATTTCCGCAACACTGTGAATAAAAACTAAATGGAGTGTGTATTTAATGTTTCAATAACATTTACTACACTTATAGTTGTTTCTATATCTTCAACTTTTGTAATTCGTTTTGTTTTCTCACGGGTTTCGGATGTTCTCCATGAAATTTGACAGAGAAAAACTAGACTGGAAACGTAAATATCTAAACGTAAATATCTTTATATTGGAAATGAAATATATGAGTATATGTACACACCAGATGTACGTAGAGTAATTTGAATGTAAACGGTATTTTTGTTTTTAATAGCCGTTTCTTAATTTCATCGCATAATAAAAAAGATATTTAAGCCCAATAACTGGAATACCTCTGCAAATTTAACGATGCTACAAAGTAACTTGTCATTAAATACTGAGCAAAAAGTGAAATTTTTTTAATAAACACAAATTCCGTTTCAGTTATAGAGTTTCAAGAAATAAAACGGTGTTTTCATTTTTGTGGAATAGTAAATGGCTTTTCACACAGATTAAACCAGGCAAATATCAAAATTAAACGAAATGAAATACAATTTGAGAAAAATAAATAAATTTAATTTAAGTAGACTGAGATTGAATAATTTGAAATTAACTTATTGAGGACCGATATTATGTCAATGCATATATTCCATCTGCAATTTTTTACATTAATATGCATATCAAATTCGGTTTTTTAACATTGTTGCTATAACTATTTATAACATTGCGATAAATTATTATTTGGTTTCCTAATAGGTCGAGTGAGACTGAAATATGTTAAAAATGGGTTAAATGAAGGAGATAATGTTAAAGAAAATTTAACGAATAACAGCTACAAATTATCAAATGTTTCAGTGTTTATTTTTATATTATTATTTAAATAACTTTTTCCAAAAAATTGGGATCATAATACTGTATTTTCCAATAAAAATATCTCCAATTCTTTTTATTATTCTGAATAATTATGTATACATCATTAAAATTTACATTATCAATCAATATTTAGGGTACCATCTGTGTCATAGTCTGTATATTTGCAGTTGTATTAGATCATAATAAACGTTCAGTTTATTCCGGCAGGAGAACAGATGAAAGCAACTCGTCCGATGAATATGTTTAATATTGCCTTGGTCGTTTTATTGCACGGTACGTTTTAATATTTAAATTGAAAATTAAACGGGAATGTTATGGCGAATGTTCTGAGGGCAACGATATTATCATTGTTCTACGAAAAATTGCACGGTATCCATCAGGTAACTATACTAATTAAGATATGCAGATTTTATATACAGCATGTATCAAATAGGTTGAAATAAATTAAAAATTTGGATGCAGTTTTTACGTACACAAGAAAATTTTTGTAAACATACGTAGGTAACTAAGTATTAACTGAATTCAGAGTTAATATTTGAAACGTTCTCCATGTGATCGAATGTATGCGTAGATGCGTTTTGTTGCAAATTGTTAAATTGGCTCATAATGTATTCACTATTACACTTGTGTGATATATTTATACATATAACATAAACTCACAATTATAATGACAATAAAAATATATTAAACTAAATTATATCAATAAAGATTCGTATATTTAGGAAAACATTCATATTATATTTAGAGAGAATCTCGATATCAGAAATTCAGCAAAATTGGATTCGAGTCCTCCTTTTCATCGTAATTATTAAACTGGCAATCTATTTATGTAATATCATCAATAAAATATTTTTAACGCTAGAATTATCGATTTATAACGCATACCTAAATATTCCTTAATCTCCAAATAAATGGTGAAAATAAGCATATATAGTTAACTCTTCTAAGAAAAGGGGGTTAATACATTCAGCGTTGTATCGAAATCGTGTTAAGCGAAACTAAAACGTTGTTCGAGTTTATTAATCCGTGTTATATGGAACCGTGTCGAAAAATTTCCACTGTATTATGTCAAAACCGTGTCGAAATTTTTGCACCGTGTTATGTCAAAAGCGTGTCGCAATTTTTGCACCGTGTTATGTCAGAACCGTGTCGCAATTTTTCCACCGTGTTATATCGAAATCGTGTTTTCAGAGAACCAGTAGTATCATAAGAGGATTGAATGTACAATTATATTTTTGTCTGAATAAAAGACAACATTTATTTTATCAAAATCACTTTCATATTTTCGGTAATTATAAAAGCACAATAAAATTTGAAATCCGTTATTTTGGCCAGTTTAGTACCTACCTCGGTCGTGATTAGCCTCTGAAGCCTTTGTATTTTTATTGTCTATGCCCGTCGTAGTTTCGATAACCGAATACGTCTTAAACGCAAGTTTTTTCAAATAGTAATTTGGCTGATTGTAACAGCCCGATCGATCGCGCTCTGACCAGTTGAAGTACCGCAACTCTTACCTAGTTACATCAAAGCCTCACGCTCCTCCAGCTATTTCTCACGCGTTTCCTGCTAAGGATCCTCCACATTTGGAACGTACGGAAGAGCAGTGAGTGACATGATCTTGCGAGCGAATACGCTGATTGATCATTTTCATACGTTAAAAACCAATCAATGTGCATATTTCAGGACCTAAGTTTCGTGTCTTGCTAAACGCACGGTCTAATCCAACATGGTGTCACGACCGGCATACTTCAAATCCGACGGACTGACGATAGAGATAAAGATGTGGCGGCACTCGGCGACAATGTATATCGCTGAAGTGCCTAATGAACCATCAACATCCCAATGGTCCTTCCATCGAAGGTTCTAGAAGAAAGAGCACGTGGCAACGATCGCGGACGCCTAGCAAATGCATGGACGGTGGGGATGTTGAGGGATGACAAAAGAAAGTAATCGGATCCGATCGAAAGTAAAATCATAAGAGTCAGTCTTAGAAAGTCAGGCCTAGAGTTCGGAAGTAGATTGTAAAGTGTATTGATGCTAGAAAAAAAATAAAGTTTTCTTTTTTTATTTTTCACCTCAAATTCCTTTTTTATTTTGTTATTTTACGTGACAATGGCATCGGTAGTCTCGCTCAAATTGTTTAGTCGTGAACTTCATTCAGAGAGTCAGCCGCATCGTTAGAAACGATTAGTACAATCTCGTCCGTAACTTCAAATCATCAACACCTTCTTCACCAGACGTGGAAAGAGCAATCCCATATTCATTTCGTGACTCATCAACAAGCATCCAAGCGCTCGTAAAAGCAGAATCGTTCCATCAGTCGTAACGATCAGTTGACAATTCTGTGTGAGATTTTCAACTGTAAACTGTATCTCCAAGCATTCGTGGAGTATCGTGAAGTATCGGCTTAGTCGGTGAACGATCAGTGAACAGTTTCGTTCATCTTTTAATTCCAAGCTGCATCGACACGCGTTCGCGGACGAGTGTATCGTTAACCATTTACAACGTTCAGTCGTATATCGTGTCGAAGGAGTCGCATCATATCGCGTAATTAATTAAAATGAATTATTTTATTGAATTTATTTTAACTCTTCCATAATTTTCGGTATGTGCATCCAGTTTCTATGTCTTATATACAAATATATGTATGCATGTAGGTTACTATTACTAAAGATATTGCACTCTATTACTGAACATGCGCGATTTTATCTATATCCATGGAAGCAAAGCGTTGCATTGAAATTAAAATTATGCAAATATATGCATTAATGTGCACATAATGTCGAGACACTGCATTTTGGGAATATGATCAGTCTCATTCGTATATTGAGTTTAGACAGTATGGACGTAATGTATGCAAATAGTACCGGTCCAGTTGTATTGTCTTAACGCTGAATTTTCCAATGTTTTACGCTGTCGAAATTTTCATGCGTTTTTATCTTCTCCTTCTCTCTTTATTTCTCTGAACCTATCTTTAAAAGTACTTAAATCGAAGTAAAAATATTCTACTCTGTGTAGTTTAACCTCTTTTGCCCTTTTGGTTGTTTCGTGTCATTTACAACACGGTTGTATTTTGCAAAATATTAAATAATTGCTATCTGTGCGTACGATCTTCCGTTTCAATCTTTGCGTGTTAAATATTTTCTTAAAGTATTAAGAATCTTTTTTCTTCACTAAAGCAAAATGTGTTGGGCGTAGCTATATTTCACAAGTCACCTTAATTTTAATACAAAGATAATACAGAATTCTTAACGCATTGTTTGGATAAAAATTTCTTATAAAACGCGCGCACACGTCACCATAACTGATACGGAAAGAAAAGGAAGAGAAGTGAAGGTAGCGAACTTAAAAAGAAGAAAGGAATTAAAAAGAAGGAACAAAAGAAAATTAATGTCTCTCTGTGCCAATTCGTTATATGCGGCGAATTCAAACGTGTTCTCTAACAAAATGGAAACATAGAAATTCAAGAATTGTAATAGAATTAAGAACATAGGCTTTTGTCTGAATTTTTATGTCAAAACATGTTATGTTTTGTTATTAAGAACATTGAACGTGTTATTTGGAACTTTTTATATTGTGAAACATTAGACGAAGAATTTTTTCTTGTAATAATTTCAGCTGTATGTAGATATGTAGCTATTATCGATATTGATAAAAGGTGAAAGTACTGTGGAAATTAAATCTTGTTATAGAATATTATATTTTTCTAAAAGAAGAAAGTTTCTGAAATTTATCGCTGCGATTTCATTTAATCTAACCTTAATCTAGAATTTAAAATAAGATTCAATGTTTTTAAAGAAAGGAATTATTAATCTGAAAACACACGTTGGTAGATAAGATTTAAAAATTAAATGTGTATGTATAGATCTAATGTGACAAATTCTAAATCTGTTTAATATTATCTGATGTTTATAATTGAGATTTGTAGTGAATATGTCTTTATGGGAAAATAAAATAAAAAGTTTATTGTATATTATTATATAATAAAAATTTGTTTCAGTTTCTTCTGAATTAAAATGCTATTAGGATAAGTTGTCGTTGTGAGAACTATTATTACGGGTGTTAACAATTTGTTGATAATTTTGTTCAGGATGTCACTGTGAAGTTGAAAGTAAACGTTTGCACAGAGATACTGGTGCTTCCTTTGGTGGAATATTCAATAAGCGTTAACTATGTTTCCTTATTCGTTGAAATGATCTACAGGGAAATGCATTTATTTCATGACTGTACCTGCAACGGTGCTTGTCACGATAATTGTTTAGTTAAAGCTAGTTGAAACCACAGAATTGTTCCGGCAACACGTATCTGATATGATTCGTAATTTAAACGAACAATTTTTTAGAAAGTACATTTATACGATATATGAAATTTGTTTACAAATATGATAAATGCAACACAGTTCTGTTCGTCTCTCTTTGAAATTTATGGTTTAATATTTATTAGCTCTGATACATATCATCAACCTAAAAAACATTAGAAGTGAAATGTCAATATTATGGAGGAAATAAAAATTTCAAGGTATTAATGCTGATTAAAATAAATAAAACATTATTAGATGAAATTAACAGCGAAATGTTCAATAAATGTTTGTAAATAAGTTTGTTGAAAGAACTGATTATTTTCTGCTGCAAGAATGCAACTAAGCAGTAAATGATGCAGTTCCGTAATATATATTAATTGTAATTATTTAATAAAACTACTATGCAGTATCATAACAACATATTCTATAATGGTTTGATTGAGATTTGGTTGGACCTTGACTGAAAAGAACATCATAAATAAATTTTAATATAAATAAGGAAAACTAGAACAATGAAAAATTAATTGGTTTTCCATTTTTCAATAAAGTTACATATTTTGTTCTTTTATTATTTCTAAAATAAACAACTATTTTAAAAAATATTTTACATATGTTTAATAATATTCTAATAATTACTTTTTATCTGTAAAAATTTCTTTATAATATTTTACAATACGCAGTATCATTTTATTTCTTGAATTTCTCTCTGCAAAACGATACCTTAGGAGCGCCCGCAAAAATAAAATTTGCAAATTACGCTCTGTAAATCCATCGCGTATCCTCATTAAAATAAAATTTGACAGTGTTTCTAATCTTATTTTCAATTTTATTTTATATCATTATGAAGAAGAACGTTTTTTCGAAGGAAAATAATATCTTCTACTATATTTCTTTTTGTTACTAGAGAGGGATATAACCAAATGACAAAAAGAACTTTATTAATTATCTTTACTAATATTCAACAGATACTTATACACACCTGAAATTCTGATATTTTTTTATTTCTATATAATTAATTGTTTATTATCGCATCATCCATTATAATAAATCACTCTGCGACTAAGTCACTCAGTTGAAATGATAAATGAAGTTTTAGAATTTTTGAAAAAGATTTGTTTATTTTAAAAATTCTAACAATTACACTGTTTGCTTAAAAGTCGTTAAATTAGCTTTTAGAAAAGAAGAATTAATATTAAAACGTGATCCAGCAGCAAAAAATTTCACAGTAATTTTTACATTTTTGCTTCTCACAATAGTAAAAAATTTTGATATACGTAATGTTAATTACCAGACGGCGATGCTTACGTAAATTCATTATTTCTATAAATATGACCAAAAAATGGACCTTAAACTATAATAAATAGTAATAATGTAAATACACTTAACTCTCTTATAACAGTTTCGATATAATACGGTGAAAAAATTGCGACAGCGCTTGTGTAACTATATTCTTATAACAATATATTATTAAATGTAGCGATATTCTTATAACACGCTTTTCATACAACACGTGAGGAATTAACCGTATCATAGGAGAATTGCCTGTATAAGTAAATAACAATAAACAATAATAAGTAATAATAATGTATGATAAACAATAATATAAACAGTAACAATAGCCAAGGAAGCACTAAGGAATAACAGGAATAACAGAAGAACATATGACAATATTTTCTTTTTCGTCAAATATGTCAAGAACTGTAAAAATTATTTAAAAAAAAGTTTCAACAAAAGCTACACCGTTTCATTGTGTCTACTTAACTCCGTAAACAAAATTTCTGGACGTCCATGATTTTCGAGTTATCCCCAACAGCATATTTTTAAAAAATCTTTTTTAATTTGAATATATAGGGTGGTTGGTAACTGGTGGTACAAGCGGAAAGAGGGTGATTTTACGCGAAAAAAGAAGTCGAAAATATAGAATAAAAATTTTTCGTTCGAGGCTTTGTTTTCGAGAAAATCGACTTTGAATTTTCGTTCGGTACGCGTACACTTTATCACGTCTCGTTATAACGGATCTCACTGTAGATCGTTGTCTCGATGGAAAAATTAAAAAAAAGGAAAATTTTTATTCTACATTTTCGACTTTTTTTTTCGCGTAGAATCACCCCCTTTCCGCTTGTACCACCAGTTACCAACCATCCTGTATGTATATGGATAATAAAGAATATATAAGTATAGGTACTATTGCTTTATCGTTGTTTTTGTTTGCTAGTTACATAACTCTTCAATATGTAAAAGTATACAAAACAAGAATGCCAACGCTTATATATTTATTTTATTAATTAAAACTGTTGCATTAATACAATTAAATTTAATATTAATAAGTATCATGTAAATGTACTTAAAGTAAATGTAAATTATTCAAGTATTGCGTCCTGAAACCAGTTTGTGGTGAAAGAAACTGCTAAAACGGACACCAAATTCGATAGTAATTGATGTATTTAATTAAAAAAAATATTTAATACGTAAGTCATTGACAAATATGAAAAGGAAATATTTAGAGATACTTTATTATGTATATTAAAAAAGATGCTTTGAAGAAATGATGATAGGAATAACTCGAAAATCATGGATATTTCGAAAATTTTTCCTACGGAGTTTAGTAGACATAATGGAATGATGTAACTTTTGTTGAAACACTTTTTTAGGTATCTTTCATCGTTCTTGGAGTATTTCACAAATAAAAAAATCTTGAATTTTCTTCAAACGGTGATTCCATCCCCTGAAACCGAATTATGGCAAGAAAACAAACTAGAACTATATTGCGGATGACATACTTCACTTGTACCCAAAGTTTGAGAATTTTTCAAATTTCCGGGTTGTTTAATCTTCCTTCTTAGTGAAATAGACCCCGTCATATCATCTTTAAAACCACAAGAATGTGAATGAAGATATGTAAATTTAAAAGATAATAATAAGAATTTTCATGTCATTCCCTAAGTATTGGAATGAATACTTTGTTTAGGGGAAAAGAAAAATCTCTCTATCAATTCGTTTTCGTCAGCTTTTATTCGGGGAACTTTCAGTTTTTCCTTTAATAGTTGGCAATTCTGAAAACTTCTAGTTTCCTCCTAATAAGCAGTTTGTTCTATCGAGTGAAATATATCAAGATTCAGGATGTGCCTGGGTGAAACTAATTTAGGAGGAGTAGTGAAAACTTTACTTTGTACTCGTATATGTAGAATAACCAATAGAAGACGATAAACAATTCTGGAAATAAGGTTATATGGTGTTATAAAGATAAATTACGAGTTTGAAACTACAGTAATTTTTCTGCGAAATAAAAAGTACAAGAGAAGCCAAGGTAGGAATCATACATCATTTTTTAACTTTAATATTGAAAAATGGATTGCTGTGAATGCGTAGTAATGATACAGTTTATGTGATGATAGAAACTAATTATTTCTTTAGCTATCTATTTGACGAAAAGTGATCGGAATGTTTAATCGTGGCTATTTTGTGTTTTGCCTCTATTTATTCTGCTTATGAGCTTATGTGTTTGTTTGATAAGTAACAGTTTCAAATGAATAAATAAAATTGACATTCGTATGCATGACTGGATACATAAAACGTCAGTATATATCTTCTGTGCAGATAGAATATTCCATTTCTAGGGGATATTCAAGATGATCTTTAGAAATTTTTAAAAAATATCGAAGTTTATTAAAGTTCATTCAAATTTATGAGATCTTTATAAACTATTACATATTATTATAATACAAATGATTATAAGACAATATTTGTCACAAAAAATGTGTAATTTATATAAGTCGGATCAGAAATTTACAGTAATCTTTAATCGTGATTTTTCGGGTACAAATCATAAAATATAGTAACATTTACTGGTCACTAGACCGATGACAACACTTTCACACTAATGATTTTTTAGTATCTCTAGCCCTGACATCTACCTAATAGCATTATTCCAAGGATCGAGTGACATTAAAATTTCCAATTTGATATGAAATAACAATAACTTTTTTTACTATTACCTTTCCTGTTTCAAGAAAACAGTTATAAAATGAAGTGTATTCACTGAAACCTGTATTGCATACATTTTTGCATAAATAGGAAATTTGTATGTTCGTAGAACTAGGAACGTGTTCTAGTTAAACAGGAACATTTATTTTTCCTTGAAAAAGTTAAAGTTGAGTGTTCTTAGTAATATTGGAACGAACATTAATGAATGTAATTTGGAAAATACAATATATTACTGCTAGAACTAATCTTGAAAGTTCAAGTTCAGAGTTCAAACTCTGAGGATACACGTATGTAATTAATTGTTTTATGTTTCATTCAATTTTCCTCTTACTGTTAGTGAAATGCGTTGTATTCATAAAAATCACAACTTGCTTTTTCTTTTTTATACTCCCTTTTTTATGCTTCCAATTTTCTAAATGATGTTAATTAAAAATTATTCTAATTTCCATATTTTATACTAGAATACCTGTTAAAAGTTATATAATCAACATAATTATTATTGGATCTTAGAAATTCCAGATTTTAATTGAAATTATACTTGGAAGAGTATCTATTAAAAGTTCTTATTTATAATGTTCATCCGCCATTTATGTATCTTAGAAACCCCCAATTTTAATTAACATTATACTTAACTTGAAAAACTATAAAAAGTTATATCAAAATATTCATCGACATAATTGTTTGTAGATATTGAAAACTTCTAATTTTAATTAGAGAACAACGAATGTCTTCCTATTTCTGAATAGTACCGGTGCATCATATCCCTATAAGAACTTCTGTTATCCTACTTTGATGAAACTTGCGATTGCAAACTGAATCCCTGAATTATACCCATATTTACTTCTATTGATGCGTGTATACGTCTTTGTATGAAAGCTTCATGCAAAGCATATGTAAAATTCACGAAACTTTTTAGAAAAATCTTCACCAACTTCCCCGCGTCTTTATCTGTCTTTTAAAGTCTACGAGAATGTTTCGAAGGAACGTTAGATTATGTATATGTACATAGTTTCTGGAAGTAAAAGTATTGGTGAAGTTGTGCTCTACAAATCATGGCTATAACTTTTGAACTTTGCAACTCTCAAATATCCTAATTCTACGAGGCTTAAGAAATCTCAACAAGATTTTAAATCACGATAAAATCGGCACAAATTCTCAATTTTATTCTAATGGATCAATTTTTATTTATTTACTTACTCGTCCATCATATTGATATTTACTGAGACGAATTTTTGCCAATTTACCTTGAAGAAAACTTATCTAATAATGATTTATAATTGAAGAAGTCATAATAAATACGACGCTGATCTATGTTTGTCCTTTTCCAGGAAAACAAAAGAATTGTTAATATGTTCAATACACTCTTAATTTTTTCCAAAAATTATTTATCCAGTGCATTTACAATTGTTTATAATTTTTACGATTTTACAGTTATACAATTTTACAATTTTTACAGCTTTACAACTTTTCTAAAAACAAAACATTCATCATAGAACAATTGCCATGAATATATCTATAAGTTATATTGCTAAAGAACCGTATCTCATTAATTTAAAACATTGTGGATCTCATAGCAGCAGTTATTTTCTTCAAAAACGATCAACTTTCATTCGAACTTCAGTTCGAACATGTCTTGACATAAATGTAGAAATTAACGTCGTTTTGCGCTTGTTCTTCTCACACGCCAATCTAAGACAGTCTTCCGTTTTTTTGTTAGCGCGCGGTCACATTCCGACTCAACACGTACATTTCTTTTTTTTTTGTTTATTAAAATTTACAATCAATTTTCGCATTGAGAATTTTCAGTAATTTTTTCTGGCGTGGCGTAGTGACATGGCTAATTATTTATAATAAGTTAATACTTATTATAGATAAGTATAATTTATAAGTAAGTATTATAAATAAGTAAATATTACTTAATTTAGATAACTAATTGAATCTAGCGTTTAGGTCTAGCGGGTAGTGTCTCTTCAGCCTGCGGGTCTGGTATCAAGTAGTCCAGTAATTAGGGTGTTTCGATGCTTATTGACTCTTTTGCTATATCTGTCGCTAAAGACATCAAGGCAGGGGTTTCGCAAGGAAGCGTCTTAGGACCAATACTATACACACTACACACGGCCAACATACCAACAACTACCAATAGCAAAATACTGACACCCGCGGACGACACAGCTATACTAGTCAGGCACACTAACCCAGAAACAGCAGTCAAATTACTACAAGAACATATCACAAAAATAGAAAAGTGGCTACAAGCAAAACAAATTAAAGCAAACCCCGATAAATGCAAACACATTACATTCACACTACGAAAACAGAAACCACCAAACATTGTACTAAACGGCACACACATAATACAAACAAGGCAAGTCAAATACCTAGGACTCCACTTAGATACACGACTCACATGGAAACAGCATATTAAAATGGAAACAGCATATTAATCAATAATACACAAAAATACAGATAGCAAGGAGACAAATGTACTGGCTAACAAGTCGAAAATCCAAACCAAGTATAGGAAACAAACTAAAAATATATAAAATGATCATAAAACCAATCTGGACATACGGAATACCACTATGGGGAACAGCAGCAATGAGCCATATAACCAAAATAGAAGCAATGCAATCTAAAATACTCAGAACAATAGTAAACGCGCCATGGTACGTTAGAAACGAGGACATTCGGAAAGACCTGGGAATACCAACGGTCAAGGAGGAGATTAACAGATGTGCAAGAAGGTACAGAGAAAGAATATCAACGCACCCAAACCGGCTGGCAGCGGAAACGGTCGGCACATCAAACATAAAAAGAAGATTAAAAAGGAAACACCCAACAGATCTCACAAAGGACATAAACTAACACTCATCTCACTAAAAAAATAAATCAATCAAATTCGAAGATGGTATCTCACTGGGGGTAGCTATCCACATGTTATATTATTATACCACTAAGCTATAATATTTTACCAAATGTCCTACTGGACAAATTGTAAAATGTAAATAAAAATAAAAATAAAAAAAAACTTGACTTTCCTGAAGCATCTTCGTTCTCGAAGACTGCGTATCGCTTCACCTCAAGGTCCTCCGCAATTATTCACACGAACTATTTTATACCGATCATTACGCTTAACTCTACTTACCTTATATGGTCCTCAATATTTCTGCTTCAACTTGAACTTCAGCCCAAACTGAGTTCGTTTAATAAACACTAAATCCATTGTACGTTTTCTTATTCTCTTTCTGTATTCTTAACACGTTGACTGGCACGACACCCGTATTCGGGTGTCAGCAAAGTTTCTGGTCGGGCCGCGTAACCCATATTCGGGTGTCGCTTATTTGACTACTTGGGGAGGATCGTCGTAGGTATTTGAAAAGTTATTCCGTAATAATAAAACTGTTGAATTGTTATACGAAAATGGTTTATTAAAAAATTATTTAGAATGTTAAACTTTAAAGCATTCTATACATAGCTGAGGTTGGTCGGGACAATTTGGACAATAAGTTGTTGTTTTCTTCAAATTCTTTTACAAGTTACGTTCTTTTTAGGGCTTAAATGTACATAACGCCTGGTTCTATACTCGTTGGAAGGTGTCTTTTCAATTCATTACTGAATCGATATACTTTAGATAGAATAATAAATTCAATCTAAAAAAGTACTAGAGAAACTGTGATCGTTACAAAATTATAAACAAATTTATAAGAGTTGAAATAAACACGTAGAAATTAATAGAAACCTGTAATAAATAAAACAAAGAGGTCGTACGTTCTGTTTTCTCTTTTCTACCAACGTAAAATTTGTGCATTTGCATTCAAATACTTAATAGCAACGAAAACAGATTCATTGCTTCAGATCGAAAAATCTATTAGCAAAAATCGACAACCTTCCATCGTGCAAAATATAAAAATTCTTACGTCTTGAGAATGATTTACATCTTGAGGTTGTTTTTACTAAGCGCAGACGTAAAATACAAATGGCATTCTATTGTAACGAAAGTGTCCCTGAAGTGTTGAAAACGCAGTGTATTTTTTTTTAATTTAAATCCATGGATATTTGATGGAATCCTGAGGATAAGTCTAACGCGGAAAGGAATCGCATTCCTTAATTGACTCGGTATGCCTTCTATGTCAGGTAAAGGGTAGGCGTCTTGGTCTGTCAGCTCGTTAAGTTTCCTGAAATCTATAACTATTCTCCTTTTTTGTTTCCCTGAAGCGTCTATTTTCTTTGGGACTACCCAAACTGGCGAATTGTAAGGTGAATCCGATTCTTCGATAATATTTTTGTCTAACATTTCTTTCATTTGCTTCTCGATCTCGACTTGGTGACATTCTGGGGGTCTATAAGATTCGGTGTTAATAATTTTATCTTGTTTCATTGTAATCACGTGTTTCGTCGAGTTCGTGCAAGGTAAAAGGTCTGCCTCTAACTTGGACACATCTATATAGTGAATTAGTATTTTTTCTATAGGTTCTTTAAATTCGCGTTCGATGATTTGTCCTCAAAATGGCTTTGAATTTTGCAATTTGGTCTAAATCCTTATTGTTTTCAATATAATCGGAAATTTCGTGATTTTCCTCAACAGTGTTGAAGAAACATGCTCTCGTTGGTTGTCCTACCAAGTAGATCGTTTAAACTCTCTTTTCTCCTGGTTGAATTCCTATGGGTTTCTGAAAGTGCAGACTGTTATTGTCTAATTTCAATGTTTCATTTGATACTACGTATTCGTATTTTTTTAGACATGGCAGACCTAATAAAGCGTCTTCAGTTAATGGAAAATTCTTAGGCACTATGAAAAATTTATGGCTTTTACCAAATATGCTAAGTAGAACGTATTTGTTGGTTTTGTATTTACTCCGTCCCATATAAAATGTTTGCGGTTCGTTCGTACTATAAACAGTCGATGTCACCCGATTTTCTTTGATTAGATTGATGTCGGATCCTGTACCGACTAAGTGCGTTATTGGTCCGTCATTGCTTTTGAACTGTACGGTAAGCGATCCTGTGGTCCCGTTGACCCTTGGTATTCCTCGTTCAAATAACTGTTCCTCGGGATTCATACTCTCTTCGTCCGTCGTTATAGGGTAATTTCTCGGAGGCGGTGAGTATCTTTGGCTGGCTAGTGGAAAATTTCGCTGTTGGGTACAAGCGTAGGCTGAATGTCCCGTTTCGTTATATTTGAAACATTTGGGCAGTGGTCGTTCTATTATCGCTCTTCTTTCCGTAGGTGGATTTATTGGTTTTGGTTGTGCGGTGTTGCCGAGCGTGATATTTTTTCTTGCATTGGGTGTTTCTTGAAATTGGGCGTTGGCTCTCGCAATTGGTTGATTCATTCCTCTTTCTCTTACTGTGTTTTTGTTGCGTTTGATTTCCCCTATAAGTAACTCTGCTTTGAAAGCTGTATCTTGTGCTTCTTGGAGATTCTTTGGTCTTATAACCGATGTGCGTATTTCTATTTCGGGTTTCAAATTTAGGATAAAGGTTCTGGTGGCTCGTTCAGTTTCAAGATCTATAGCGACTGCACGACGTATCGGATCGCGAATTTCG